GAAAACGGACTTGTTATCAGAAATAAAATTTGCAACATTTCCCACCTCTGCCACTATTTATCAGATTTATAACACCATTCCACAGCAAGGATATGCAACTAACGATTCAGTGGCATTTAGCTTCTCTAGACATGGTCCCCTTTCTCTTTGTATGAAAACACAACTTATCATCAGGGCAGAATTCCTTGAATAACATGGTAACTTTTACGGTCTTCAAAAATTCACCATCAGAAGGAGCCTTCTGCATTGTATGTGGGACTTTTTATGCCCTTGGGTTACCATGAGATTGCATCAATTGAGACAGGGGCCAATCAAGTTCCAGGGACATCTTTGTTGCTTTTTAGGGAAAACTAATTCCTATTGTGGGAAACAAAAGAAGTCTAGTCCTGCCATGGACTGGAAGGATTATTAAAACTTCATATACTTTAATATAGTGAATTAGAAGAGTGCAAACAACTCTAGGTGTGTGATCCTATGAAACTTTTTTTTGTACTTACTGCTTCCTCAAGTAGGAATGCCTTTCTGAATCCTTACCCTCCTTCACAATTTAGCCTCAGGTATAGCCTCTTCCATTTTTAACTTCCCTTAATCCCTCCAGTTGAAAGTACTCTCTTTCCACTTCAAATATTCGAGGAGTACTTTGGTTTCATCTCTCCTTTAATACCAACCTTTTATTTTACTTGCCCGTGTGCATGTTGCATCCCTTCTAATAACAACATAAGTACCTTGAAGCCAAGGACTGTCATTTTAGCTTTATGTCTCCACTGCCTTACCCTTACTTAGTAGGAGTGTTCAATACTTGTTAAACTGACCCATTTGGAGATACCCAGGGCCCATCTTGAAGGCTGCCTTACTCTTACAATTATTAAGCTGGTCATGAAGTGTAAGTGTATGTATAAACAGTTGTATAAGTGTTTGGTAGTGTTTACTATTACTTCATTAGAAGGACAAATACTGAAGCTGAAGCTTAAATATTTGGCGACCTAATGAGAAGACAAGACTCTTTGGAAAAGACTATGCTAAGAAAGCTTGAAGGCAAAAGGAGAAGGGGATGGCAGAAGATGAGATGAATAGATAGTGTCATGTAAGTAATGAACATGAGCTTGGAAAGACTTCAAGAGATAGTGGAGGACAGAAGGGCTTGGCGTGCTATGGATCATGGGGTCATGAAGAGTTGGTTACAGCCGAATGACTGAACAACAATTACTTAAGAAAAGTTGGAGTGATTCTAAAGTAGCATTAAATGTTTTCTGCCCTCTTGACTCCTGTCTGAAACTTTTTTTGTGTTGATTCAGCTGAATGGAAGAGAAAGAACATGTGTTATCCACCTTTCCAGCATCTCCCATCACATTGTGGTCGGAACACTTAGACACGTACCAATAGTCAGTGAAAACTGTGTATGTGTAGTTTGATGCTGATTGGCACTTCATTATTATTCTGTAAGTGATAGAATGAGAGAGAGGTAGTGGTCTCCTTCAACAGTTATATGTGATTCTGTCTACTTCAAGTGTCCAGTTCATATAAAACGTATGCATTTGGCTTCAGTGACAAGTTTTTGAATGTGTAGGCATTGTAAAAAGACCTGGCTAACAAGTCTTATCTACACTCTTTGGTTTGTTCCTGCAGTTGCTATTTTCAGAGTATGTGCCTGAAAAAGAGTCAACCTATATCTAGTGAAAGCATGTGAAGTCATTTGGGTGATCTATTGAATTTCATTGCCCATATTGCTGTTGAAGCAAGATCTTCTAATATTTAGCCTTTTGTAGGTGAAATAAGACTTAGTACAGTATTAACCATTATCTTGGGAATATATGAAGATAAATTTGAGGCTGTCATTGAATTGTAACTACACCATTACATTTTGTAAAAGTAGCCTGATTCATTAAACTCCATGGTAAACTTCAAATGTGAATGAAGCCTTAAGACAAACTTTTATAGATGTCTTTTCACTTTATTAACTCTAAAATTAAGAGAACAAAAGGGAACACTTGTTTTTTCAGTGTATTAAAGGAACTGTAGTTTTGGATACTTATAGTCAAACTGGATTTTTGTTATTCAGTTCAACATTATGTATATGATGAATATCTCCAAAATAAAACTTTCTGAGCTAATACATGCAAAGCGCTGTGCTAAGTCCATGTATACCATGGATTCATACTGTGGTTGTGTCACGTAGTACCTATGTTACTTTGTCAAAATTACCCTGAGTATCAGTTTTTTGGTTTTTTGTCTGTAAAAGATGGAGTTTAGCTTCCAAGATTCCTTCCATCTCTAAATCTATGATATTAAGACCAAATACCCCTTCTTTGCCATCAAGAAGCTTTCATTTCTAAGTAGGAAGACAAGTTTCTTTGAGGCAAGTGAGTATTTTAGACTCTTTAAAATATGTACGTAGATTCAATTCATTACGGCCTTGGAATTTCCTAAGACCATTATTTTTGCTCTGGAACATTCCTTAGATACAATGTTATTGTGTTAAGCTGATATGGTTGAGAAAAGCAAGCTTAGTTCCTGATTCTCTTTTAAAGCTAATTTTCCTGTTAAAATTACTTTGATGAGCAGATCATAAGTAGTTATGAAAAGATAGTAAGCTGTGACAAAACAAATACATTGTTTGATTTAGAGAAGTGACAAGTATTTTTCAGTTCATTGTACTTTTCATATCACTTATGTGAATACTTAGCCTTAATATATGTTTTTTTAAAAAAAATTATCAGGTAACCTTTTTCATCTGAGCACTCCAAAGTCGTTTTCAAGCATTAATTTATGAACTTCACAATATAATAGGATATGGAAAAATGTATTTTCCAGCTTTTAGGAGTGAAGGCTCTCTTTTTTTCAAAGTATAAATTTCTTACCAGTATAATGAGATAAAACATTTGCATAGTATCTTTAGTTTTTAAATCTCTAAGGATATAATTTCACTCTAATATCTTTGCTACATACATATTTCTTCAATCACTTCTGAAGTGGAATATAGCAATTACCTGTTACTGGCCATAAAAATGTGCTTGAGGTCAGTTTTTTTTTTTAAAGGAGTAACCAATTCATAATAGGGAAAATTCAGTTAAAGTAACAGCAAATAGAGAACCTGTGCTGTTGCCTTAACTAATACAGGTATAGTTCAAATTGGCTATAACCATATTTGATCCCTGCCTACCATTGAATTGTTTTCTAATTTTTAGACAAATGACTTGACATGTAATACAAGCTTTGTTTATTTTTTAAATTAGTACAGCTAATGTAGTGTCAGACAATGCCATAATATTTCAGAATTAATGTTGAAACTTTTAGATGCAAAACTCTGTAAAGACTTTTCTGCATTTATTTCATTTTTTACCAATCTTACATTAGATTGCTATAGCATTTGGCACTGTACTTACAGTGCTACAAAAAAAAATGTGAATGCTGTCACCCTGGAAATGTTGCTTCAGATTAAAGTGTTTTCATTATCACAGTGCACATGTAATAAAGGTTAGTATCCAACTTGTCTAAAATTATAAAATAAGTATATTCTGACAGCCTTTACCTTACAAACATCTGCCTTATAAACAACTTTTCCATATGATTGGCTGTCTCCCATACTCCTGGTAATTAAAAATATTAATAGAGGAACTTGCTAGTGGTGCAACTTTAATATTCTGAAGCACTTTGCAGTAGAGCAGGAGTCCACATGAGAGCTGCCTTCACTCCTGCAGCCCTTGTCCTCCCTTTGGCTCTGCAATGCCCTATAAAGGAACCCCTACAGGAATCTTTCACTCTTCCTGCTCAAAAGATTGGCAGCTCTTCAAAGTGCTGCTAGGAGGGGAGCTGTCTGTGGAAGCCAAGGGAGTCTTGTTTCTATTTTCAGACCGTAGGGACAGGGATACTTGCTCTGCTGAAAGAAAAAGGAGAATATTTTCTCACAGGGTCATGTTAAAGGAAAGTGCTTATCAATAATACTCTAGTTAGAGAGTTAGCATGATGTAGTGGATAGACAGGCACATGGTCAGAAAGAGTTGAGCTTCAGTTCAGACGTATACTAGAAGTGTAACCCTGAGCAAGTTACTTAACCCCTGAAAATTCTCTTAAGACTATAAATTGCAGAGCAATTGCTATTTATGTTAGTAACAGTTTCCTCACCTAGCATTCTGTGTACCACTGAAGTTACAGATCTGGACAAAGAATTCACACTAATAACATAGTTGGGAAGAGGATATATGTACAAAATGATAAATAGGAATATAAGGTAGCAAATTTTAAGTGCTAAATTGGTAGTTCACAAGTTGGAATTTGGAATATATTTCCCCATAGAAACAGTGTTATAAATGTTGGTTAGGTTCAGAGTTTGGTTATATTTTGGGTTAAATAAATTCTCATAGGATGTCTTGACAACCAAACAATGAGGACACTACTCTTTTAAAAGTACATAATACATTAAGCATATAAATTGCTAGAAAAATGCCTTGTCTACATTTTACCTCCCAAACTATAACCCTTTCAACTATCTAGATGAAAGTCAAGATTCATTTTGTGTATATAGTGGCCATTGTATAATGTAACCTGGCCAAGCAACATCCTGATGTCATGGATTAGATGAGAGTATCTCAGACTGCAGGTTAGAATCCATTGTAGAAATTAGATTTAGTTGGGGTGAGGGTTCTATTGCAGTCAGTAGTTGTTCCTTTTAAAATGAATGCACAGCACGGCAAATATAGTAGATAATTTGTTTCCATCTGTATGTACTCTGAATTTAACTTTATATTTGAAAATTTATTTTTACACTAATTTTACTTAGAGTTAGTTGATTTAAAGAGAATTGATTTGTGTATACATCTTGAGTATTTGTAAGTATTCAGAAAGTATATTTATTTTAGTTACAGACATTTCTCAAAATATAGCATTTTTCTGCATAGACCTTTTCAAATAAATGCAACATACTCATTGAATCATGTAAGTTTTATAGGAAAGAAAAATAAATACTTGTCTGTTAACAATGTATTTCTTTATCATACATGTAGGTTCTCTTGGCTAGCAGTTTTGTACCAGTTTATGCAGGCCTGAAAGCAGTGGAATATAAAGGAGAGGTAATATTTTTACATATTCAAAGATACTCCTTTTATTAACAAATTTTTCTTGAAACATCCAATTTTAGAATTGTCCTGAAGGTATTAAAATGTTCTATGAATTAATTCATAAATAGTTTTGCTTCCTTACTTTAAGAGAAGAAAATTCAAATCCTAGGAGAATCATATACATTTTTATGTAAAGATTTAAAGAAATGCTAACTTAAAAGATTTTATTTGAAATTAATGATTGCCTGAAATAGACATGTTTTTAAATACATAATGTATTTGCTTAAAAATAATTTCAAAATTAATATATAGATCAAATGTCTCAATATCATTTTTTTCCATTTCTGTGGTTGCACTTTATAAGCGTGTCAATGCTTTAAACATCTTAAAGCTTAACTTAATTGATTCTCATGAAATCAGTATCTTGAGTTTGATCATTAAAGAGGTTATTTTGTATTACTGTGTTCCATAGGAGTAGTTTGTACTTCAAATTCTTTCTTCTCTAACTCTTCCTGGCTTTTTATAAAGTATGTGCATTTGGTCTTTAGAAGGTAGGGTAGTAAAATATGGTTAGTTATTTCAAATTCGTTACTAATATTGGAGAAAAAAAACAATAACTCAAACCACATATACTGGTTAATGGTAATATTATCTTTTTAAAGGAGTTCAAGTACATTTTTGTGCTATTGGGAAATAGTATTTTTGAAAAAATAAAATAGGATGTTCCAGGAGAACTAGCACCTCAGGTGTGAAGCCTTGCTAAGACCTTTTCAGGGCTGTTTATCCACCTTTGATATCTACCTGTCACTCAACTCTCACCTGTGGCTACAAGAAGATATAGCATGCACAGCAGCCACACCCCGGTAAGACTGTCTCAGCAGATGGGCTAAACCAGGTTGAGGAGAGTTAGGGGGATGTCTACTCCAAGCATATGAAGACTTCCCCCAGTAGAAGGGGCAGATGAGAACACTTTATTCCAGTGGCCATGAAGGCATCTGAAGGCAGTCACTGTGGAGTATTTAGAGCTTAGTCAGACTTAAAAGACAGCAAGGTCATCTACTGCATCCCAAGCCATTGCCAGTCCTCCTGACTGTTGTCTTGCCATTGGACTTTGATGACTCTGGAAGAGAGATTGAGGCAGACAACTTTGTGCAACTCTGCCTCACTTAAATCCAGTTCAACCAAATCAGGACATCATCTGTGACGTCATTAGTTCTATTAAAAAAATGGCAAACAACAATTTCTGAAGAAATAGTTTTGTTTTTCAGAGAGTTATATAGTATCCTCTATATTATGTCACATGGATGGTCTTTTGTGGTTTCTTTGGTTGACTTGATCTAAAAAGTCAATCAGTGAGCCAAAAATTATATTTTTAAGAAATTGCCTTTGGTCTGTTAATTGTTCTTTATATTTGAGAGTGCTGCATAGAAGTCAAATTTCTTAATCTAGTCTGAAAAATAAGTTGGTAATGAATGGAGTTCACCTAAGTTGTGTCATTTCTACTCATTTTCTTTTCTGTTTCTTCTAACTGGTAAGCAAAGAAAGACGCAAGAATAGAAAAATGTTTAGGAAGGAGTAGTAGGAATGATGTGGAAACTGAGGAAAGGAAACAATAAAGCTCAGTGATGAAAAATAAGGAGGTGAAATCAAGAGGATTCATTGAGGAGATAGCAACGGAGAGCATGCAACTATAGTTCCACTTGGGTATGAGAAAGTACTTTCTAAGACTGTGGTAAATCCCATATCATACAGTATTGTTACTCTCCTTTTGTCAGTTGTTTCTGGTTCCCAGAGTAGGTTTCTTCTCAGGAAACCCTTGTCAAAGGACACTTCTCATTTTTGTCATCTTCGTGTCCCTGGTTTTTTCTAACAATGGTCCCAGCTAAAAGATATAATCCAATTTGCTATAAGTCATAATGTTGCACCATGTATATTGTGTCCCAGGTACAAATTTCTACTCAGACGTTTGGCCTGCTTTTACAGTGGTCCAGAGTTACAGATAAAATCTAAATTCTTAACTCGCCCAATCGATATCAGAAATAATTGAAAGCTTTATTCTGGTAAGATCCAAAGTAAGAATCTGTGTTGTACCTGAATTGTTTTGTCTTATATGTAATCTTAACATTTTATTATTTTTCTCCGTTTTGTCTCAGATTCCTTATCTCGATCTCAGTTGCAATGTAGAGAATATCTATAGTAACCAACTAGTTATAGTTATTTACTTCATGTATTGGTAGCCCAGGGCAAAAGTCAAAAATCACCTGTTGTAAGAGAATGGGCTTACTTCTACACTGATTTTAGTTAATTATCCTGTATTTGCTCATCCCTTTCCAAAGTCAAAACCTAGATTACTCCCGCAAATCTACCTTCTCCATTCCTGCTCTTGTGCTACAGAACACCATTGAAAAAAGTCATACAACTCTGATGACTGGGTCCACTACAAATTTATGTCATCCAATCTTAATCAAAACTTCACTAATGCATGCTATTACTTTTACTCTTCTCTAGTTGAATCAGTTTGCTTTCACCATCTGTTCTAAACATTCTTTCCTGAAGCTTCTTATAGCATTCTCTTCATACTCATTTAACAGAGTACCTTACCTCATACTTCATAGAAAAAATTGAGACCAATGTCATGTCACTCTTCTCCCCAGTTCCACACTTCAGATGACTTCAACATCATCCCCTGTTATTTCCTGTACTTAACAGCTTTGGCTGGTAAGATGACCTTTCTCCTTGCCGATCTCTACCCATTTCCTTGTGTCCTGGATCACATCCCCTCCTATTTCTTCCATGAACTTGCCCCTTGAATCATATTCTTCCTCATTTTTAACTTCGTTTTATCTACTGACTCCTTCTCTGCTTCCTACAGATATTCTGAGATCTCTTTCATCCTTTAAAAGCAAAAACAAACAAACAAATACTTCCCTTGACTCTTCCTTTCAAGCTGTCATTCTACATGCTTAGACAAAACCTATCTACGTCTTTTGCCTTTCCAGTCTGGTTTCTAAATGACTGAAATTGCTTTTTACAAGGTTATCACCATTTTTGCTGTTGCTGTTTTTTGTTTGATTGTTTTTAATTGAAATGCTGTGGTCCTTTTCGGTCCTCGTCTATCTTGTCTTCTTTTCAGGGTTTGACATTGTGGGCTAGCCCTGCCCCTTCTATATATTCTTCCTTCCCTGGATTTTGCTGATACTGCTCTGTTGTGGTTCTTTCCTATCTAGCTGACTCTTCTTTTTTAGTTTCCTTTATTGGATAATCCATGTGCATTCATCCCCATGCCTGAGTATCTCACAGAATTTTCTTCTAGCCCTTTCCTTTTGATCTTAGCAGTTCTTATGGATTCAGATGTTATGTCTATAAAGATAACTGCCAGATTGAAAGGTCCAGCCCTTAATCTGTTCCCTGAGCTCCAGTCCTGCATATCTATCTGATGCTGGTCATCTTCGCTTGGATATCCTATAGGCACTTTAAACTTAACATGTTCATGACGAAACTCATTTTCTTTCCCCTAAACCAGGGGTGGGGAACCAGCAGCCTCGAGGCCACATATGGCCCTCCAGGTCCTCAAGTGCAGCCCTTTGACTGAATCCAAACTTCACAGAACAGATCCCCTTAATAAAAGAATTTGTTCTGTAAAACTTGGACTTAGTCAAAAGGCCACACCCAAGGACCTAGAAGGCCACTTGTAGCCTCAAGGCCACAGGTTCCTCTGCCCTAAACCAAAGGTTTTTGATTTTTTTTTTTTTTTTGCATCATGGACACCTTTGGCTGCTTGGTGAAACTTACAGACCCCTTCTCAGAATAAATTTTTTCTTAAGACATGAAATATAGTACATCGAATTACAAAGAAAACCAATTATATCAAAATCTAATTATCAAAATATTTTTAAAACAAGTTCACGGACCCTAAGTCAAGAATATTTGCCCTAAACCTACCCTTCTTCCTAACTTCCCAGTTCTCCACTCACCTAGGTTTTAAACCAAGGAATCACTCTTACCCCCTTATAGCTAAGCATTTGCTAATTCATGTCATTTCTACCACCTCAGCATATCTTCCATTCATTCCTTTTTCTCCACACCTCAACCACCCTGGTTAAGGCCCTCATGGCCTGTCTCTTAGACAATACACTATCCTCTTAATTGATCTTTCTGCCTTGGGTTTCTCCCCACGGCAATCCATCTTTCCACACAGCTGCCAAAATGATTTTCCTAATACCCAAGTCTTATAATGCCTGCTCAAAATTCTTCTGGCATATAAAGCCCTTCACAACCTGGATAAAACATGTCTTTTCAGCCTTACACTCCCCAACCACTGCACTCCATGTTCCAGTCAAACTAATCCACGTGTACAACATTCTCTCCTACTGTCAATCTGTTTGTGCTGACTCTGCTGCATGCCTGGAAATGACTCTCTCAGTTATGCTTTTGGAATCCCTAATATCCTTCATGGTTCAACTGCAGCGCACCTCCTTAAAAAGATTTTTTTTTTCTGATTCCCCAGTGATCAGTGCCTTCCTACATAACTTTATGGTCATTTTGTATATTTCCTATATTTGTCTATGAATATATCATCACAGTAGGATGTAAGTTCCTTGAAGGCAGGAATTGTTTCTCTTTTGTATTTGTATCTCCTGTACCTAGCAATGTCTGGCCTTAGTGGCCTATTGCACATCGTTTATTTTATTGTATTTTAGAACTTTACTTGATTTTATCTCCCAGTGATTGTTACTTTCTGTCCCTAAGATGTTTGACTTCTTAGCCCTGGGATTAACTCCATGTTGCTGATCCTACACTATGACTTCTCACTTATTTTCTACTTTTTCCAGATTGTTATTTGACTATTTCTGTCTTACTGCAGATGTCTCAGATCTTACCTAAGTAGGCTCTGTCTAGAAACACGATGAATGTGTTGACCTCTGGCTCTGTTCCACCAACAGTAGAAGGATTGTAGTGTGTTTAGTCATGGGAAACTGCAGGTTTTGTTTTGTTTTGATATTTTTTGTGTA